GAGTATGTCATCAAGTTGTTCAAGGACAACTGGGTAAGGGACTTTGGTTTACCAAAGACCATCATTAGTGACYGAGACGTCCGCTTCACAAGTGAACTGTGGAAGAAGACTGCAGAACAGATGGGCAGTCAACTTCAAATGACTTCAGGGAATCATCCCGAAGCCAACGGACAAGCCGAACAAATGAACAGAGTGGTACAGCACTTGTTGCGGCATTACATCAAGCCCAGCCAAGATGATTGGGATGAGCAGTTGCCTCTCATCGCCAGCTTGTACAACAATGCTATTCATAGTAGTACCGGCGTTAGTCCCAACCAGTTACACTTGGGATGGAAGCCTAGATCAGCACTAGACTTTCTCCTACCTGAAAACCGACCTGCTGCAACTCMAGGCACACTTGAATACGGCGTGCAATATGAGAAGTTGCTGAGCGAGGCTGTTGAACATATGAAGAAAGCTCAGCAAGCCATGATTGCTTCCGAGAATCAACATCGCAGACAGTCCACATTTCAGGTGGGGGAACGTGTCTGGGTCAAGGCTAGTGAGTTAGGACAGGAGTTCGGAATATCTCGTAAACTAATGCCTCAATACTTTGGTCCCTGGGAAGTCTTGGATGTAGTGGGAGATGCAATGGATGGTCCTACGTACGTCATTCGTGTCCCTGGTCATCTACGCACTCACCCARTTTTTCATGCCTCAAAGCTTGCACCTTTCGTTGAGACAGATCAATTCCCTTCTAGGAGATCGATGCTGCCCCCAACCATGGATGGTCAAGTTGACATCGACGATATTGTGGATCACAGGGACATGCCTGTTCCAAAGCCGCTGGGCCGAGGAATACCTCCCAAGCCCAAAAGAGAGTACCGCGTCAGATTCAGGCATCACATGGATCCAAGAGAAGATCGTTGGTTTACCAGGGAGGAACTGATTGACACAGCTCCTCAGGTGGTGGCAGACTATGAGAAGAAACTGAAAGGGAARGCGCCTGCGAAGTAAGCATCTCAGCGGACTTTCGAAGCTAAGGGGGATGGAATGTGAGGATTGAGCCCTCAAGTAGGGGCCTTGCCATGATATACATGTTCTGGGCTAAGGCCCCAACAAACCTAGTGCCCGCCCTAAGTGAAGGCGGGCCAGCAAATCCACAAGAGCCCTCTGTGCAACATTTCACGAAGTGGGCTTCAGACAGTTGCAGCACGCCAGTTGGTTGGAGTGCACCGAGTCTCGGATTTCAGCAAATGCTGAAAGCCCAGGGCCTCCGAGTTGGTTAGGCCCTGGGCATCTGAACSTGAGGCCRACRATGCATGCTGGGAAGAGAGGCCGAAAATGCCAAAGGGAAATCGGCCCACTGTCTGAATCTGGCGGCAGGCCTTGATGAAGGAGGCGCAACTGCCTTACCCCGGGGCCCAACKGTATCGAGTTGGCTTCAGCCTCTGGGCCCCGGTCACAGGCTGAAGGGAGGCCGCCCACACACTGCACTGGGATATAGGCAAGCAGGGCGAGGCAGCGAAAATCTTGGCCAATGCTGGCATATGCGGGCACGCTGCGCAGATGCAAGTGTGCTGCGCTAATGCAGAGCAGCGCTGCGCTAATGCAGAGCAGCGCTGCGCTAAGAAGAAGCAGGGCAGCACTAGGCGGTAGGGCGCTGCCTGCTTGCAGAGCACTGGTGGCCATAGCCGGGCCGCAAGAGGGTGCAGGGGAGGTGAGGGCGAAGGTGGTACTTCGGAGGTGAAGGGCGCTGTGTGGGTAACAAGGGAGAGTGTGGGGAAGATGACACGTACCTGGTGATGGTGGAGGTCTGCATTGGTGTTGACATCATCACTCGCTGGTAGTCAAGTTGCCTGGTTGCTGTTCATTGCTGTAGTTGTAGGATAGGCTGTAGAGTAGATAGGGCGCCTGGCGCCATTCACAAGAGAGAGCTACATTTGGGTTATGCTGTTGGTGTTGCCCTNTGCTGTAGTTGTAGGATAGGCTGTAGAGTAGATAGGGCGCCTGGCGCCATTCACAAGAGAGAGCTACATTTGGGTTATGCTGTTGGTGTTGCCCTGGTGGGCATGGACATTGACTCACGATTCTTCTGTATCATTCTCAATGGGATGGTTACTTCGTTCCATGTGCTATCTGCTTTGGCTTTGAATACTTGGACTTCAGTGTGATTTTGCATTCCTGATTTTTGTGCTACGTCCATACTCATGTTCCTTGCATTCTTCTTCAGATACAGAGAAATAGATTACAGGCAGAGGTTTCACAGGGCCTAGCGCCCAGGATCTGATTCGACATTTTTGAGACAGACATTGATTGGACTTTCGGCAAGGGACTATTTTTGGACTTCGCTGTTGCGAACTTGGTCTTCTTCCTCGCCTCCTTCGTCTGTCTCTCCCCCCGTCTCTCTTTCGTGGTATCTCCCCATGTGCGTGTGTAAAGGACGGACCTTTCGTCAGGATTGCGGTCCCTCTCCTCTCTCTCACATGTGCGATGTATGATGGGATGTCGGTCAGTCCAGATCAGATCAGATCTTATCTTTAAGTCTTCCACTACGCCACTTTGTGCCATTTTGTATGTATCGAGATGCACTTTGCTTGTTGATGCTACGCTGACATTGCATTGTCCATTTCAGTCCTTTCCATCACATTGCGGATCCTTGGCTCCATACACATTGCCCAACTGGGCATGTGTCAGTTGGTATCGGAGCCCCGCTTGTGAATCGGGACGACCTGATCTGACACAAGCGAGGGACAATCAATCGAACGATCGGTTGATTGATTGGTCGATTGATTGATTAATCATTGATTGATTGATTGATTGATTGATTGATTGATTGATTGATGAATCGTTGATTGATTGATTGATTGATTGATTGATTGATTGATTGATTGATCTTTGATTGATTGATTGATTGATCTTTGATTGATTTATTGATCATTATTCAATTGATTATTGATTAGGTCACCCTAATTAGTCCCAAAATCGCGAATTTTTTGGACCTTCTGCCAAAAATCGATTTTTTTTTTTTTTTTCCGGATTTCCTTCTTTAGCGCAAAGTTCGATTTTGTCAAATATTCGCAATTTCGAATCTGCACAGCAGTCAGAATTCCGATTTTCGTTTTTTTTTTTAATTCGGAAAATTCTTTTTGCTTGATTGGACCGAAATTGTTTTGCTGGTTCTGCACTCTTGTTTTTTGTTAGGTCGGAATTTAACGCTGCTTGATTGGACCGAAATTGTTTTGCTGGTTCTGCACTCTTGTTTCTCATTAGGTCGGAATTTAACGCTGAAAGTCATTTTTTTTGGAAATTCGATTATTTCAGTATTCCGCAATTTCGGAATTGTGCGTTAATCCGACTTTCACGGATTCAAGGGGTAACGAAAATTCGAAATTATTTTTTTGATTTCCCTACTCTTCGAGATGCTGCAAATTCGATTCTGTTTCGATTAACCTACTCTTAATCTGAAGTAATTTCCGAAATTATTTTTTTTCGGAATTCTTAGAACTTGCGGAATATTTTTTTTACTTTTTCGCAGTTCTATTTTTTTTAATCATTAATCATTCTTCATTACGGTCTGAATTCCGAAATTATTTTTTTAATAATTCAATTTTTAAAACAGGGATGGGAGACCTACAGAACTCGCAAATCTCAAGAATTCATTTATTTATTAATTAATTAAATTTTCCCGAATTTTTTTTTGCAAAGTTCAAACTTCTCTGTTTGATTAGTGGCTCCTTATCTGGGCGATTCCCCCACTTCCCCACCTCTGCTGTCTCAGTCCTCCTCCCCCTCTCATTCTTTCTTCTCCATCTGTCTACGGGTACACTCGACAACGGCATTGGTAAGATTGCCATGTCAGCAGGCCACGTCAGCAGGCCACGTTAGCAGGCCATGTCAGCAGGCCACGTCAGCAGGCCATGTCTGCAGTGACACGTCAGCGACACGTCAGCCGACAGCACCTCGACAGCAGCCGAACAGTGCCACGTCAGCAGCAGTACCACGTCAGCAGCTCCCCAGCCTGGTTATGCTCACGCGGTCGTGGTCAGCCGGCATGGACCAGATGGCCGGAGAGTCAGCCGAGGCCTATCAGACCCGGATGCTGACTATGATGAATGAAGCCAGGCAATGGGCAGAAGCGGCAGCAGCTGCAGAGAAGAAGAGGAGGGATGAGGCGGAGAAGGCATGTCTGCTGGCAATCGAACAGAAGCGCCAGCAGGACGAGGCAGCAGCAATGGCTGCCGATGAGGAACGATGTCTTCGCCGCGAGAAGGTGTTCAACGAAGAACAAGCACTACTCACAATGGCCAAGGATTGGCGTTCGGAAGCGGAAACGGGAGAGCTTGCGGACAGCGGACAAAAGATTGCGCTGTTGCTCTCCCACTTCACGGACCTCCTGGCGACGTGCATTGCACAACAGGAGGACATCCGTGAACTCCACGACACGGTCACCGACAACACCGGCCGCCTACAGCAGCTGGAGCAACGACCAGTCACCGCCGCCGCTGCCGCCAGCTCCTCCAACCATGCGGATCGGCTTGATACTTTGGAGATCGACGTCGGGCAACTCAAAACCGACGTCGGCCCATTGAAGGTCAGCGTCGGACAACTCAAGAGCGACGTAGTCCCACTCTTACTCGACGTTGGGACACTCAGGGACAGCATGCAGCAACAGCAAGCTACCACACAGCAGCTGGAGCAGCGGATCTGCGCAGCGGAAGCCAGTCCTAGTGCGACACCGCGCGAGACCATCCCAAAGTTTGATGGGCAGCCGATCTTCTGCAATGCAACGAAGACAGATCCTATTCCGTGGTTTCGACAGTTTGAACTCAAGCTGGACATTCACCACATCACCGACGCCAACCGGCATGCGCACTTATACTCCTGCTCGGGGGGCGTGTGTCAAGCGTGGATGGACAACATGCTGTCCACGCATGGGGTTGCAGCAACTGACTTGCACACCAAGATCAGCTGGCCGGATCTGAAGACGGCGTGGCACAAGCGGTTCCAAGTCGAGCCGCCAGAACTCCAAGCTATGGACAAGCTTTTGAAGTTCTACCAGAACACGCTGCCTTCCGGAGACTGGATTGTCGAGTACCAACGCTTGGCGAGTGTACCAAAGCTACCGATGGCCTTCGAAGGTCTCAAACACTACTTCATTACGAGGTCGTGTTCGACATTGTCAAATGCCTTGACGCAAGTATCGAAGACTCTCACCACAAGTGCGGAGCTCTTCGACAAGGCCACGCAGATCATTGTAACGAACACGGAGGCCAAAAACCTTGGCCGTTTGTCTGCGGCAGGCCCGGACAGAGAACAGCATCAGCCTAAGGTGGTCGTGGTTGTAGCGGCAACGCCAACCGACTCGTCAAGCGAGGCTGCGTCTGCCGATGAGGGAGACAGACTCGCAGCCGCCCAGGATGGTGGCCGCCCCGGCAAAGGCCGAGGACGCGGCAGATCAAAGACACCCACCGTATCTAACCCCGGGCCCGGCGCAGCAGCTCCAGCCCCTTGGACTCACTTCAACCTTTCCAAACACATCTACAAGGTTTGCAAGCGGTACAATTACTGCTTGTGGTGCAACAGCGACCTCCACGAGACGGCCAGCTGTCCGACCAAAGCCAAGGGGAAGAACCAAGTGGGAAAGTGAGCACCGCCGAGAGTGATGCGACGACACTCTCGATGCCTTCGGAACCGGTTGCTGCGCGGGCTACCTCCCTTACTTCCGAGGCACATGCGGTAGTCGACAGTCCTCCAACTTTATATTCCTTTGAGGACTATGCTGTCCAGCTCCTTCCTACGCTGGGCACTCATGCTCGAGGACAAAATGTGTGTGTGGTATCTTCTCCGTCCGGAAGTGACGACTTCTCGTCTTCAAGTGGTTCTTCACGGGATTCGGCGCGCGAGTTCAATATAGAGGTCTTGGACCCGCTCACGTCCGAGGACTTTGCATGGCTTCCTCTCCTGACCACGGGTCGCTTACCGGGACCGCAATGCGCGGCACTACACGCTCATTTGAACACATACTTATCCTTCTATGCACCACCAGCTTCGCCGACGGATGACAAAGCCGCGGTGGGGGACATCCTTGCCTATGTTAGCAAGGTGGCCCACGAGTTTCGCACGCAGCGGTACGACGACAACGACGCACCACTACTCTACGTCCGCATCCAAGTTGGGCAAGCGTCCTGCAGCGCTTTGGATAGCGGCGCGACTCGCAATTTTATGAGCCAAGCCTTCGTTCAAAGGGCTGGCCTTGGCACACAAGTTCGATGGAAGGCAAACCCGATGGCAATCAAGATGGCGGACGGACGGACGCAGCAACTTCTTGACCGTTACATCAAGGTCGTATCGGTATACTTCACACCTCCTGCATGCGAACCGGTGACGTTCAACATTTTGGACACGGACTTCGATATTGTTTTGGGAATGCCTTGGCTTGCAAGTGCAGTTCACACGGTCAACTTCCATCGGCGGACGCTTACCATTCGCGACGCCTTCGGCGTGGAGGTGCCGTGTACCATTCCTCTTCTGCATTCCTCGATCCGGTGTAAAGTTGTGACGGCCAAATCATTCCGGGCCACTTGCGCTTACGAGCGGTCCGACGAAATTGGCCCATGTTTTCTCCAAACCGTCGCGGTAGCCGACACTTCACCCACGGACTTGTCTTCGGACCCCCGCATGGTGCGGTTACTTGACGAGTTCGCCGACGTCTTCGAGTCCCCTACCGGTGTGGTGCCGGACCGGCCGATCTCTCACGAGATCATTCTTGAGACCGGTGTCGTGCCGCAAGGGGATGCATTTACCACATGAGCGAGGAGGAGCTCACGATCCTCCGCGCGCAACTCGACGACTTGTTGGACAAGGGCTGGATCCGCCCTAGCAGCTCGCCATATGGTGCGCCAGTTCTCTTCGTACGGAAGAAGAACAAGGATCTACGCTTATGCATCGACTATCGCACGCTCAACGCGCAAACCGTCAAGAATGCGGGGCCTCTTCCTCGCATCGACGATCTTCTTGAGCGTTTGGGCGGTGCAAAGTTCTTCTCAAAGATGGATTTGAAGTCGGGGTATCACCAGATTTCGATACGCTTGAACGATCGCTACAAAACCGCGTTCAAGACGCGGTACAGGCATTTTGAGTGGGTGGTTATACCTTTTGGCCTCACCAATGCCCCGACGACCTTTCAAGCGGCAATGACCAACGAGTTCCGCGCAATGTTGGACCGGTTCACGCTGGTCAACTTGGACGACATCCTCGTCTATAGCCGGACTTTAGAGTATCATCTTGAGCACCTCCGACGAGTGTTGGAGACGCTCCGCCGCGCCAAGTACAAGGCCAACCGCGACAAGTGCGAGTTTGTCCGGCAAGAGCTGGAATACTTGGGCCATTTTGTCACTCTGGAGGGCATCATTCCGTTATCGGACAAGATTCAAGTCCTCCAAGAGTGGCCGGAGCCGCGGAACTTTATGGATGTCCGTTCGTTCCTTGGACTTGCCGGCTATTATCAGCGTTTCATTAAAGGCTATTCGAAGATCGCGGCCAACTTGACCAAGCTTCAATGCGAGGATCGGCCGTTCGACTTCGATGACGATGCGCGCGGTTCATTCGTGGCCCTCAAAGCCGCTTTGCTATCCACGGAGGTCTTGCGCATCTACGACCCGCTATTGCCTACGCGCGTCACTACCAATGCGTCCGGCTATGGCATTGGTGTCGTCCTCGAGCAACATGATGGCGAGGATTGGCACCCGGTCGAATACTTCAGCAAGAAGGTGCCCGTCGTGCACTCCATCGACGAGGCACGGAAGAAGGAGCTCCTAGCCTTCTTACACCCGCTCAAGCGGTGGCGACACTTTCTTCTTGGTCAAAGTCTGTTCCGATGGGTAACGGATAATAATCCGTTGGTCTTTTACAAGACCCAAGATACGGTCAACAACACCATCGCCCGTTGGATGGCTTTCATTGACCAGTTTGACTTTTTCCCTGATCACATTCCCGGGAAGTCAAACCGTTTTGCGGATGCTCTTTCACGACGTGCGGATCATTGCGCCGCAATTTACTTGACGTTCGAGATCGACGATGAGTTGCGGGCCAGTTTCATCCGCGGCTACCAAGCCGACCCCAAATTTTGCGACAAGTACGCAAATTGTTCCTCTCCCAATCCGGCGCCATCGCACTATCGGATCCAAGAGGGATACTTACTCGTCCACACGTGGGGGAAGGATCTTCTTTGCGTGCCAAGCGATTCACACTTGCGTATGCGGCGTCTTGGCGAGTTCCACGACGCTCCCGCCACCGGACGTTTTGGAGTCAATCGAACGATTGGTCGACTTCTCGAGCGTTTTTGGTGGCCCGGTCTTCTCGACGACGTCACACGCTATTGCGAGTCATGCGAGGTTTGCCGACATTGCAAATCCCGCAATCATCGTCCGTACGGCGAGTTGCGACCACTGCCTATCCCTCGCGCCGAAGGGAAGCGATTGCCATGGACATTACCGGGCCGTTCCCCAAGCACAAGTCCGGTGTGGATGGAATTCTCACGGTGTCGACCGGTAGAAGTGGTCTGCCGGCACGCCGTCCAAACTCTATGTCTCGCGCCGCGTCTATCACCCGTGGGAGGGTAGGTCGGGGCTCCTGTAACCTGCACAAAATATGTCTGTCCACATCCACAAAAACAAGTACCGTAGTCGACCGTGCTCGATGCAAGAAGAAACTCGTGAGACACTGTATGGCAGAAATAAAAGAAGTGTTTGCATTCAGTCCAAAACGATGGGGTGAGAAACACTCGTTCCGGCCTCAGTGGTACACCTCATCCCTGTGTCTGGAAAATCCGTCTGAGTCCCTACAGACCTAGTGAACAAACGTCGCCAAATCCTCCTCCCGATTGGGTGTCGCCTGTATCGTTCCCGTCGGTCCCAAGGGACCGTGCTCGAGCTCTCGGTGTCTGATGTAGCCTCCCTCGCCCATCGGGGCCAGAGCTCTAGATCTACGGTGACCATACCCCCGTGCAATCACTCCGCTAGGGGTGGATCGCTCCGGTAGGCCTAGTTCAGGCGTCCCTCTTCAGAAAAGCTCGATTCAGATAGTACCCGTTCGGAAGGCCCACTTCGGATCGCACCCCTTCAGACGGCCCAGTTCGGATTGTACCTCTTCGGAAAGCCCGCTTTGGATTGTACCTCTTCGGAAGGCCCACTTCGGGTTGTACCTCTTCGGAAGGCCCACTTCGGGTTGTACCTCTTCGGAAGGCCCACTTCGGGTTGTACCTCTTCGGAAGGCCCGCTTTGGTTCGTACCTCTTCGGAGAAGGTGCCCTTCCGAAAAAATGCCTCTTTGGCAAGTTCGCCTTCGGTAAGCTTCTCCGGTGAAGCGCCCTCCAGGAATTGTGCCTGTTCGGTGAAGTGTCCCTCGGTAAATGTCCGCCCGGTAAATGTATCTGCTAGGTAAGAAAGATCACCTGATAACGTGGCTGCTCGGTAAAATACTCGCCCGGTAGGTGTCCGCCCGACAAATGTATCTGCTAGGTAAGAAAGATCACTCGATAACGTGGCTGCTCGGTAAAATACTCGCCCGGTAAGTGTCCGCCCGACAGATGTACCCGCTCGGTGAATGTATCCGCTAGGTAAGAAAGACTACTCGGTAACGTGGCTGCTCGGTAAAATACTTGCCCGGTAAGTGTCTGCCCGGCAGATGTATCCGCTCGGTGAATGTATCCCCTAGGTAAGAAAGACCACTCGGTAACGTGGCTGCTCGGTAAAATAATCGCTCAGCAAGTGTCCGCCCGGCAGATGTATCCGCTCGGTGAAAATGACCGCCCGGTGAAAATATTCCCCCCCCCTCGGTAAGACACGCCTCCGGTAAGTCCTCCTTCGGCAACGCACCACTCCGGTGAAGTGTCCCTCGGGTAAGGTACCCCTCCGGTAAACGCCCTCCGGTGGCGTATCACTCAGGCCAAATGCCCCCTTCGTCGAGCCTGATTCGGAAGGCGCCTCTTCGCGGAGCCTGAGTCAGTCTGGTGTTCCAGTCAGTGCCTGAAGGCCCTGTCCTGTCCAATGGTCAGGAATCCTAGTGAGGGACCCGTTCGACCCAGTGACCGGGCACATGCTACAAAGGAGTCGTCTTGCGGAGTGTCCAGCGCGTCTGTCCTTCGTGGCTACCTCCCCGCTGTCCCGTCCTGCTGCGCGCTGATGCGCGGTCTCCCCACTGGTGTCTCTCTCGTACACGTAATGGCGCCGGGACCTCCTTACGGTAGATCTCCCTCACGAACAGTGAAACGCGATGGTGCTAGGACCCTTCCCTCTTGCAGTTAGTTCTCCCGCACACACGATAGACCGCGGTTCGTCCTGTGGTAGATCCCTCATACGCGCGGTAGATCGCGGTTCCCCCTGCGGTAATTCTTCCGTGCGCTCAGTGGTGCGCGAATCTCCCCGCTACCCACTTCCCGTGCGCACGATGGTATACGAGTGAGCATGCATGTGCGCGCGTGGGCGCGCGAGTGTGTGTGAACGTGGGTGAGAGTGCGCGCGTGTGCGAGCGGACATGCGCAAGCGTGCGCGGGTATGTTCTCTGCCGGATTCGCGGCGCGCAGGTGTGCGCAGGATCCCTTCCCCGCGGCTCTCTCTCTCCCGTGGTGATGTGCACGGGTGCAATAGTGTGCAGTTATGGAATCGGCGCACGGGCGCGCGGATGCGCGCGCTATCGCGCACGTGCTCCCTCTCTTCGCCCTGCAGGTGCGCAGTRCGGAACGGAGCGCAGGTGCGATAGTGCGTGGGTATGGAATTGGTGCGCGGGTGCAATAGTGTGCAGTTATGGAATCGGCGCACGGGCGCGCGGACGCGCGCGCTATCGCGCACGTGCTCCCTCTGTTCGCCCTGCAGGTGCGCAGGGGCAAAGTACGGAACGGAGCGCAGATGCGATAGTGCGTGGGTATGGAATCGGTGCGCGGGTGCGCGGGTGCGCGGATGCGCGCGCTGTTGCGCACATGCTCCCTCTCTTCGCCCTGCGGGTGCGCAGGTGCGCGCACGGTTGCGCCCCGTGTCCTCCACTAGCCCCTCGGCGCGCTGATGTGTGCTTAGTAGCATACCTTCTCTTGACAGCAGCCCCCCCCCCCATTCTCGACGTCCTCGGCGAGCGAGTATTGGGATTTGAAGGGAGAAAATTTTGCAAAAGATGTATGACTCCTAATCTCTACCCATCAACCCAAGATCATCGTCTCTGTCGTGCTCGGATGCCTTTCTTTTGTTTTTCCTTCCTGTTTGACTTTCTCTTAGTGAGCTTTGTTTTGACGCCTAAGCGTTTGTCTGGTGGCATACATCTAACATGCCGGCGGTGGTTTTTTGTTTTTTCTATTGTTAGGGCATTTTTGATGACTTGTTTAGCCTTTTTCTTCTTCTCCCTTTTAGTCGCCGCCAACTTCTTGATGTCGGACTTGGTGTTCTTGGTGTGTTTGCGTTGGATATGTCGGACCCCTAAAAGTTAGTGTTGTGTCTTTTTTGAAGATTGTTTGGAGGATTCTTGTACATGAGAAGTGATTTGTGCGGCAGGCTTTAATGCATGCCGATTGGAGGACTCCCCTACTTCGGAGGTGGTTGGTGTTGTGGGTTCTTCTAAGGACTCATCCTTCTTCTTACCTTTTTCTGGGTGCGTATGGGCATCATTTTTTCTGCCTGAGTTTTCCCGTATGTGGAATATTTTTTGTTTGGTCTTTAAATACTTTAAGACGGGCGCCAGACACCGGTTCCTTCCATCTTGTGCCGTCTAATTCCTCAATTAAGTAGGCTCCGCCTTCTAGTCTTTTGACCACTCTTTAGGGCCCCATCCATCTGTTTGCTAGCTTCCCTGTCCATGTTCTCTCTAATGAGGAGTCATAGAGCAGGACGAGGCTCCCTGTAGGTATCCCTTCTTGCCTGACGCGAAGGTTCCTATCCCATTTTTCTTTCTCTTTTCCTCTCTGGATCTTTAACTTGTCTATGGTGTCTAGGATGTTATCCTGAAGAGTTTCGGCTATTTGTTTGATTATTGCGGCTAGCAACTGTTCTCTAGTGGAGATCTCTTCCCAGTCAATCGTTTGCCAAGAGTCGATATGAAGTTCTATAGGTAAGGGACAATGGCGTCCAAACCATAACGTATAGGGCGGATATCGTGTAGTTGAGCGAACCGTAATGTTATCTGCCCAGACGGCGAATCTCAAATATTTTGGCCACTTCTTCTCCTTTCCTCCGCACCATTTAGCGAGCGCGTTGACTAGAGACTGGTGCCCTCTTTCTACAGGAGCGTTGGTTTGAGGATGATATGCTGTGGATAGCGATACTCGTATTCCCGCTTTTTGGAGCAATTCTTGGACCTCCTTAGCCATAAACTCTGATCCCCTATCCATGACAATTTTGCCAACGCAACATAGCGAGTGATATATTCAGTCAAATAGCCACTAACTGCTTTACCTGTTTTTTGACGTAGTGGTCATGCCTCCACAAATCCAGTCAAGTCGTCTCTAATGTCCATGATGTAATTCATTCCTCCTTCTCCCTTGGGCATCTTAACTAGGTCTACGTGCACTTTCTGGCTTATTGCTGTGGGATAGGAAGGAAATAAGGGTTCTTTATATTTAACTACCGCTCTCTTCTGGCATTCCACGCATGTCAGACAGTATGATTCTACGTCATTATATAGGTCGTCCCACCAGTAGAGGTTCCTAATTTTTTCAAAAGTTCCTTTTACTCCTCTATGTCCTCCGACGATGCCATCGTGAAGTTCCGCTATTATCTCTCGGCGCTCGTCCTCATCACAGACGACTCTCATTGGCATTCCATTTTTAGGTGGTCTCTTAAAGAGGTGTCCTGCCTTGAGGCAATATTGTTGAGCTCCCTTCCTAAGCTTGTCATCTAATTCGATTTCCCCTATAAGTTAACGCCCTATCTTATGATATTTGCCAATGTATAGATTTTCAAGAAACAAGGAAGTTCCTCCTGCAGCGGGCTCTATTTTTAAGGAGCTTATGTCCATTTGTAAAAATTTGTCAATACCACTAGGCGACCCTAGATCTCCCTCTTCTAGAGGGATTCACGAGAGACCATCAGTAACTGAGTTCTTAGCTCCGGATATTCGCTCTACTACGTAGTCAAACATCCTTATATGCATGAGCCATCTGGTGACCGTTGGATCTGTCAATGAGAAGTCTTTTTGTAAGACAGCTGCCACTGCCGTCGGATCGACCCGCAATACGAACCTTCGCCCGTAAATATAATGTCGGAAAATATTTAAACAATGTAAGACTCCTAGAACTTCTTTCTTAAATTGTGAGTAGTTCCTTTCGGTGGCGTTTAAGGTTTTACTTTCGAATCTGAGGGGCCTCTCATTGCCGGCCTGATCCTTTTGAGCTAAGACTCCACCAACAGAGGCAGGTCCCGCGTCCGTACATACGACGAATGGCCGATTTTCCTCGTCTTCGAAGTAAGGTACCCCAATAACTTGACCTCCTTCCTTAAACTCATCTTTTAACGTTCTTACTGTATCCTCCTGTTCACTCGTCCATTGCCATTCTACTCCCTTGCGCAAGAGCTTTCGTAGGGGTTCGACCTTTGCAGCATAGCCTTTTATGAAATTCCTCCAGAATCCGACAACTCCTAGAAACTGGCGTATGTCAGTAATACGTCTGAGGGGTGTTGGTCATTTCATAAGTTTTTCTAACTTTGTCGAATCTGGGCGTCTGCCATCCTTGTCACAGATGTAACCTAATATCTTTATAGTAGATACCGCCTATCTGTTTTTTGTTCCACTGACCGTAAGGTTTGCATCCTCTAACTTCACTAGTACTTTCTTTATATCCTCTGCGTGGGTGGCTACGAAGTTCCTCACTCCAGGTCTTACCTCTGTTTCATCTT